GAGATAGGGCTGGCATTCCTCAAGGAGAGTTTGGACTGTGGCCCCGGGGTTCTTGAAAGGGTCTGCCAGGACAGAGGCAAACCAGCTGACCCGCAATGGCTCAAACTTCTTGACGAGGTTCCAGAAGCCACTCCACCCTGTGGACGGTTTGCCGCCTTTCCTCCAAGTCAGGGTGTCGTAAAAGCCAAGGCGCGGAACCGGGGAGGAGCTCGTACCCGGCCACAGTGCGAGATTGTTCTCTCCGAGGTCTTTCAAAGTAAGTTGGCAGGTTGAGGCAAGGTATACCAAAACAATGCTGTAGTACGCCAGGAAACGGAGGCGATCTCTTGACCCAGCGTGGGTGAGCCAGTCAATCGCATGGTCCATCTTGGCCTGGATGGAACCCTCGAGCGCCAGCGTCGTGGCTGCCTCCGTGGTAAACAGGCGTACCCTCAGCCTTCCGGTCCAAATGGTCCTTGCCACCAAGCCCGGGAGCAACTCACCGTAGGCCTTCTCTGGTGTTAACTGTTGGATGGACATTTTGAGGATCCAATCGTCAGGGAGAGCAAACGTGATTTTGTCGTTCCCAGGCTTGAGTTGCGTGAGGGGCCCGAAAGGCCAGGCCTCTGCAGTGGGCATCAACCTTTGGGGCACAAAGTGAAGCAGCGCCCTAGGGTTGCTTCTGTTGGGCTCACGCGGTCCTGTCAGTGTCGCTTCGCCGTTGGCCGATTGGGTGAGCATCTCAACCCACGGCGGTGTGGCCCGGAGAGCCGCCTGAGCTACCTCCTCCGTAGGCCCAGTGCTCGAAAGGGCTCCACTATCCTGCGACTGGGCTCTCTTCATTTCTCGCCTTTTCCACGGCAGTGGCTCAGCGCATGCAATTTTGAGCGCCTCCCTCGCTTCCCTCTCCTCCTTTTGTCGCTTGGATTCAGGAGGGGGCGGCGGGGCTTTCGCCGGTGCAGCTATGCTCCTGCTGTCGATCTCTCGAGCCTCAGATATTGCATCATGGTGCAAGCCAGATCTCGCCTTGGACCTAGCTATGGAGGCGACTGACTTTGTGGGCAAGTTCTCGCTCCTTCGTTTGCTGTTGACAACAGCTGCTGCATCCTGAAGTTGACGGGGAAGAGTGCTCTTTGTTTTGCCCTTGCATCCCTTACCTTTCGGCTGGTACTTGCCCTGCCCTGGTTTGCCCATGGCAGGGAGAAGCTCACCTGCAAGGGATACAGAGGCGGGGTTGGGCGGCGGCTACCCTGCGAAATCCCTACCTGTCCCTAACTGTCAGTGGAGGGCGCAGCGCACCTTCTGGTTAAGGGTCTGGGGCGGGCGGTGCAGCGTACCTTCTAGCTACAATCTTATGTGTTAGCTCAGCTCTGCGGGCACCTAAGGGCGCGCAGCGCGTCCCTCTTGAGCCAACGGCTGCGAGGAAAGCCGGATTACTTAAACATGAGGGGCTTTTGCATGAGAGGGCAAGTTTTCGTTGGTTTGGCCTTAGGCTTGGGGCCCCGTTGCATTGGGGGAAAGCTTTCGCCAAGATTAGGGGAAAAACCCGTTACCAGGAAAGGTGGTCCCTCCCCTACTTCGGCGCGGTTGGAGGGATTGGCTTCCCCGGAGGTGGGGCGGGGGTTTGGGCCACAATCACAATTACGGGAGGAAAAGGGGCGGTCCTTTGCATGGAAGGCCGCAATGATGTTCCCCTGTTGGGCAGGCACCCCGTCCCCGGGCCCTCCCTTGTGACTGCTTTTTTGCGAACACTCTTGCCTGCGCAGGCCGATTTCAGGCACGCGGAGGTGGTGGTGAACCTGAACTTTAGCTTGGCATGGCACTGGGTACATTGCCATGCGTTACCCTGGTTGGTCATACTGTGGCTGCAGTGGACTTTGGCGGAATGCGGGACAGAGGCCTCTCTGCCGGCACAGGGAGGATGCTCTCTAGGAAAGGCGCATGGCCTTTTTGCTGCGCAAGCAATCCGCAAGTGCTGCATTTCATGCAGAGATTGGACACAGTGTGCGAGGTGACCTTCCATGTGTGTCCCGTGCGCGGATCTTGCACGGCCGAGGCCGCAAGCATCCGCTGCTTTTTATTAGGGCCCACTGCTTTCGGGGGAGAGGGGTTCTTATTGGGTAGCTCCTGAAAAGGGTGGTCCTTGGGTCCCTTCGTGGGTTTGGCTGTGGCAAGGAGGTGAGCGCATCTCTTGCCTAACCATGCGCTAACCGCAGTGGCCACCTTGTCGCATGTGTCGGTGAGCGCCGCTTGCTCCTGCGAGAAGAGGCAGGCGCTGAGCTTACCACAGATATCGTCGGCGAGGAGGTTGGCTGCCCACGCCCAATTGCAGCTCACGCCAAATCTCTTTGCGTGCTGCTCTTCGTTTAAGTGGCCTTTCGTCCAGGTGACTTGGAGCCTTGCCCTCTGGCTAGCTTGACTTTCCCATATTTGCGGCCATATCCTCTCCGCAATTGGGTTTTGGCAACGCTTAGCAGCGACTTTGCTGTCGACCGCAACGCTGGCGGTTTGGCCGACAAAACAGGCGAGCTGGTCGAGAGCAACACATTCGCCGTCATTGACCGTGGCTCCAATTTGGAGCGCCCCCTTCATGGTTCCTACAACCTTGAAGCGCGTTTTGGGGAACAGCTCCCCCGCCGGGTCAGTCGGAAGGTCTCCTCCCAGGGCTTGGATGGCAACAACTGCCCAGGAGACAAGGCGGAGCCTGGGATCATTGCCCTTGGGGCCTCCCGTGGCGTCGGTCCCGAAATACACCTCCTTGCACGGATCAGGCTGAAGGAAGAACCCCGTTTTTTGCACGGCGAGGAGCTCAGCCGGCAGGGCCGGGTGCACGGTGAGCTGCTTGGGGACCAGACCTCTTTCCCAAAGGCAACGAGGAGCTTGGGGCAGGCTTACCCTCCATGCAGGGTCAGGCCCAATGTCATGGCTTGCCCAAGCAGGGCATTCCTGCAGAGCGTGGCGAAGCGTGTTGGGTTCCCCGCACACCTCACACGCATCGGGCCCCCCGTGTGAGGCTCTTTTGATAGCACCTTGCCACAGCATGCGCAGACCCGAACGGAGGAGGTGGTTTTTGGAGTGTTTTTTGAGGAGCTTTCTGGCCGCGCTCCAATCCAGCCCTTGCTCAGCTCCTGTACCTCCTTCTTGCGCCGCAATCCTTTGCCACCTGTCCTGGTCGATTGCTGCATCCAGCTGATCCTTGACTTCTAGGCCAGCTGTGGGGGAGCCCCATGGGATGACGATGCTTCCTGTAGGCCGCCTCCAAGAGGAGAAGGTTGGCGCATCATACCCCATGTCGCGTAGGTAGCACTGCATAGCGCCGAGGGGCTCCACAGCAATGCGCCAAGGGTGAGGGCTGTTCGAGCCCCTTTTCCACATGACCTCCCACGCCGTGAGTAACTTCTGAGCTGCTGGCTTGTCGGCTTTGACACAGTGGGCAAGGGTGCTCCAATGTTCGAGGATGATCCTTTTCATAGGATCTGTGACCCCGTTCTCGCCGAGGTCGTAGACCACGTCCAAGGATCCATACCCTAAGCGGCCTGCGTGGGTCCCGGCGGCAGCTCGCACTGATTTCATACGCTTCGGGGAAAGCCCCGCCGCCTGGTGCCCCCACGTGCCCGCCGTGAAGATTGAGGCTCTGGATGCCCTGTGGAGGCATTTCTTGTCGGGGACCCTTAGCTGGCGCAGTTTTTGGCTACGCAGTCCAGCTTTGCGGAGGCGGGTGTTGGACTGCTTAACCCTCCTTCTGCGCGCTCCTGCGCTGTCCACTCCTAAGTCTTTGACCAGATTTTCAATTTTCGGCTCACCTGGCTTTAAGAGCTGCTGTAGGCTCTTGGCGACAGTTTTATCGGTACAGATGAAAGCGGACTTCTTTTCGCTGAGGAGGAGCGACTCACTCCCAAGGTCGGCGCGCAGCTGTCTGTACAGCTTGACGGCTTTCCAGGCTACTTCCGCTGGGTTGCGCCCCTCGAAGTCTGCGCTTATATCATCGATCCATACGTCGATGTTGTCTGCCAGCCCAGAGTCCGAGGCTCGAGAGCACGGGAGGTGAAGAGCGACTTTGCTCAGCACAGGCGCCGCCGGGCAACCGGCGACGATACCTCTCGTGGGGAAAGCGGGCGGGCTGGTTTGCCCTTCCGAGCAAATTACTCTGCCGCCCCGATAAACTTGAAGGGCTACATTCAGGACCGTTGCTGGAAAGGCGAGGATCTCTGCCATGTGCGCCAGCTTGTGGTGATCGACTGTTTCAAAAAACGTAGAAAGGTCAAGGAAAAGCGAGATGCGGGGCCGCTTGCTGCATTTGGCAATTTCGGCTTGCAGAACCCGCTGTACAGCAATACTCAAGCACGCGACGCCCGGTTGGGCAGCGTCCCAAGTTGCCGTCTTGGTGTATTCGGACAGCCAGGCTTGAATAAGCCCGTATCTGGCTTGCATCCATATCTTGTAAACGATGTGGCAAAGCCCAATAGGGCGTTCCACCACTTCGTTCTTTACAAGCATGACGACCTTTACGATCCTCCACTGCGCAGGGGCTTCCCCTTTTTCTTCTATGAGGTTGAGGATGGCGGTGAGCTCCTCAACCGCTTCGGGAGGCAGGCTGCGGGCCATAGCGGGGGTCCACCCGTCAGGGCCTGGCGCCCGGAGGGGGCATCGCCGAAGCCTGGTGCCGACTTCGTCGGAGCTGAGCGGGGCCAGCGTTGCCCGTTCGCATATAGCCCGGTCTTTAACCCGCGCGATGCAGGCCTCGGCAGGCGAGGGGCCTGCTTTCCAGATTGGCATCCACTGCTTAAGCCTCAAAAATGGTCTGCTTTTTGGGTCATGATCGCGGAAGGGCCGGTCGAAACACTGCTCGTGTGCCTTGACTGCCCTGAAAAGAGGCCTCATACCTTTCTTGACGGCGCCGGTGATCCATTCTTCATACTCCGCGCGCCCGGTTTTTCGCGCTTCGCTGCTTGAGTGCTTGGCGATGGCATTGACCCACTCTACCAGCTCCTCCTGGACCTCACTTTGGCCAAGAAGGGTATTCATAAAAGGTCTGTTTGCCAGCCAGGCTTGGCGCCGTACCCTTCAGGCACAAGGAGGGTCCCTATGAGCTGATGCACGCCGGAGGCCGGGTAAGCCCGGGCACAGTCGGTGGTGAGGCCGAGTAACCAGGCTGCCGCCTTCGCCCAGAGCGCGGGCTGGGCGGAGTACAACCCCACCGGGTCGGGCTTGAGTGCCGGCTTTCGCAGAAAGTCGAGGCTGGCTCCCCTTGGCATTGTCTCGTTGGGGTAGAGGGCCTTTTGGCATGCTGCTGACAGACGTGCAAAGGAAAGAGACACGACGTCGTTGATGCTGGTCTGGCCGAGGATGCTGATGGGTGTTTGAACACTGGCGGATTCATACACAGGCTCCTCCACAGCTATAGCCTCGGGGAAACATGGAAGCTGGCGGAGAGTAGCCCTTTTGCCAGGCACGGTAAGGGAAATACAGAGGCCAGCGTGCGGCCTGTGGGGCACTGTCCAGTCCACCGTGCTTCTGACCTTGCCTTGCAGGCCTGCACTGATGATGTAAAAATCGAGCTCTCGACCGGATTGGCACGTTGCCTCTCCAGTTGCGATCAGGTGACCCTTAATATGGGGCAGAATGTTAGTGGAGAGAAGCTCTTCCGGTGTGCAGTTCCAGTCTCCTGCGACTAGCCACTGTCCTTTATGCTGCGAAAGCATGCTGAGCAGGGCTGCCATGATTTCGCTGTTGGGAGGAATATCGAGCGGGGTGCTGCACTTGAGGTAGACGCTGATGAGAAGGAGGCTAACACCTCCCCGGCGGACACATATCGCCTCTATTCCTGCACCTTCAACAATGTGCTGGCCTTGGGAGGCCGCCTGCATGTGCGATTTTACGAGGACGCAGACTCCACCTTTAGTGCCTTTGGTCTCGCACGGGTGCGCTTGACCCCCGAACACCTGATACCCGGCCTGCGTCATTTGCCGGTACATCTGGTGGTAGGCCTTCTTGTTAAGGTGAGTCTCTTGCAGAAGGAAAATGTCCTCCTTGCTGGCCTTTATCCAAGCCTGGATTTCCTTCCTCCAAGTGGTGATGTTTGAGGACCGGATCGCAATTACGCTATCTCTGCCAGCCTGAAGATCGTCGATAATATCCTCGGCGGCGCGGGCGAGGAGCTCCAACCCTGAAGAGTCCCTGCTGGACGCTGCTTCAAGAAGAGCTTTGATGGTCCAGGTCTCCAGGGAACCGGGGTCACCACCACCCTCCACTTCTTCAGCCAGGTTGAGAATGGCCTCCTCTTCGCACTCAGGGATTTCCGAGTGTTTCTGGAGAATGCTTTGAATGTACTTCCACTTTTTGAGCCGTGCTTTGAGCTTGCGCCTGTGCAGGCTTACCGCCTCTTGGCCACCATTCTGACCGTTAAGGGGCTTGCTTCGGTTCCGAGTTCTGCGCCTTTTAGGAAAGGATTGCGGGGAGACGAAACCTTCTTTGAAGAAGAGGGCACCAGTGAGGAGCGGCTCCCCTATATTGCCAAGGGGGTACAGAGAGGGGCTCACCCGCTTCAGCACTCTTTGTCCAGACGCTGTGCGGCTGAGTCCTTTCCTCTGGGCCTTGGTGCTGCGCTTGGCTTGCAGCCGGTGGGCAGTGCTCCGTGGACAGGATAGGCTGTGGGACTGCTCACAGTCGCCAGCTTCCCCCGGTTGGGGTTGGGGCAGAAGCAACTCCTTGTGCGGAGGTAAGTGCTCCTGCGCCAGCTTAACGGCCCCAGGGGCGGGTTGCGGCTGAACGGGTGAAGCGGTCCTGGAGGGTTGCCGCCGCCTCCAGGGCCACCCTGTTTCCTACGCGGAGTGCTCCGCCTGCCCGGGGGGGGCGGCCTCGAGCGGACTCTCGCGTTGGACACTTTTGCGTCTTGCTGGCCCGTACGCGGGGCCGGGTCCACTGGCGAGCAGCTCAGCCGGTGTCCCTGCCTCTACTCCCCAGACGCTTTCCATTTCAAGATCAAGCTCTGGTCTTTGGGCAATGTGCTGACAAATTTGTTCCCCCAGTTCGGGGGTGAGCTGTATTCCAGCCTGCTTGAGGATGGCGGTGATTTCCTCGACTGCGGCTGGAGCTTGAGGCCCTTTAATTTGCTCGCGAGCTCTTTCCTGGGCCTTTTCGACCGCTTGTTCTTTTTCTTCGATTTCCTTGGTGAGGCTCCCTAGGTCGGCGATGCTTTGGTGAAACTGCTGCTTGAGCTTCTCTGTCTTGACTTGCAGTGCCGCCTTCTTGGCGATGAGTCCCCGGTGCTCAGCCGTGAGCTGCTTATGTTCCTGCATAACTTTCTGCAGGGCCTTTCTTGGCGTGAGGGACTCGTCCGCCTCTTGCCTTGGGGGCTCAATGCCTGCTGCCTTGAGCACCTTTTGTGTGGCTGCGTCCGCGTCCTTCCACAGCTCGCTGACTGCGCCATGATATTCCTGGGGGGTGAGCTGCTCTATCCCTCCCAGGCCAGGCGGCGCTTGGAGGTCCCTACTTGGGCTCCATCCTGCCTCTTCGATGGCGGCTCGGGCCTCTGGCCCAAGGTTCTTCCACGCCTGCTCCAAGGCAGCAGCTGCCTTCCCTTGCTTGCGGGGCTTCGGGCTGCGTGGTTTGCGGCTATTTGGGGTCCACGCTTCCGGTTCCCAATATTGGGGGTACCATGTCCAGGCTTCCGCTTGCGACTGCTTTGGCTGGGGCCATTTGTTCCCACAGTATTTGCAGTGGGGTGTTTTGGCTGCCTGGTTCTGGTAAATCCAGGAAGCGTCTCCGCACTTCTTGCAGGTGAAGAACGGCCGAGGCTTCGCCATTGGGGTGGGTAGCCCTACCCTTGTCAACAAGAGTGCTTAGCAGTACTCCCTTTGCAGTTTTTTTTTTTCCTTTTTAACTGCTCGTTGCCGGACTTGGGGCTCCACTTGAAGGGGTCACTTGCTCGTGCAGTCTTTGTTCCGCGAAGCTGACCCACAAATTTGCGCGCACAATGGCTCGAGCTGAGGAGTTGGGGTTAAGAAAGAGCCTGGGAACCAAAAACCGGTTGAACCCAGAGCCCCGTTAACACAGCAACGCACAGCTACGTGCGCAGGCAGCACCTTGAGCCTTGAGCCTTGAGCCATTTTTTTTACAGGGCTTACAGGGTTTATGGGGTTTCATTATAGGGTCTCTGTGGTTTGTAGGCTTTATAGGGTTTAGGGGGCTTCTTGGGTTCGTAGGGTTTGCAGGACTTGCGGGCGTCTTTAGGGCGTGGGGGGTTTAGGGCTTAGGGGGCTTAGGGCTTAGGGCTTAGGGCTTAGGGCTTAGGGCTTAGGGTTTAGGGTTTAGGGCTTAGGGCTTAGGGTTTAGGGCTTAGGGTTTAGGGTTTAGGGTTTGGGGTTTAGGGTTTAGGGTTTAGGGCCTAGGGTTTGAGGCTTAGGGCGACTCGAAGTTCCCAGGGCTTGAGGGAGGTCTTGGAATCTTGCAGGTTGAAGTTTAGGGGCTGGCATGCGCATCGCAGGAACCCCTAAACCCTAAACCCTAAACCCTAAACCCTAAACCCTAAACCCTAAACCCTAAACCCTAAACCCTAAACCCTAAACCCTAAACCCTAAACCCTAAACCCTAAACCCCACCACCCCAGTGTGAGGCCCCAGCGGAGTCCACGGCATGGCTTTAGCTTCTAGCTTGCTGCGTGAAAGAAGACTTAGGCTTGAGGGGTTGGGGGCTTGAGGGTTTGAGGGCTTGAGGGGGTGAGGGCTTGAGGGGTTGAGGGGTTGAGGGTTCGGGGCACAGGTGAGCTCAAGCCCCCTCGGATCTGAGACTAGGGCTCAAGAAGCTTAGGCTGAGTGCTCACGGCACCCCAATATTAGAAGGTCCCGGCCCTTGATCTGCAATCTGCTGCGCGGGAGGGGTCGCGCAATCAAGCAGCCGGGGCAGCTTATGCCTTTTGGGAGCCTGGGGCCTTTTTCGCAGGGTTTGGGGTTTAGGGTTTAGGGTTTAGGGTTTAGGGTTTAGGGTTTAGGGTTTAGGGCTTAGGAGGGTTTAGGGTTTAGGAATTTCGGGTTTCGAGAGTTTGGGGTTTCAAGCCTCTTGCCCCCAAAACTCCGAAAAGGGTGCGAGTACCACACCGAACTTTGATACTGATTTGGGAACTGCAAAAATCTGTGACAGGGCTGTGTGTTTAGACCTCGGCGGGACCCAACGACAAGCAAGCCGAGCATTCATCAAGAATGTGCTCAAGTCTAAGTTGAGGCACGTGGCCAGGATCCCTGTTGCCAGTGGCAGTGACCAGTTATGTTTGGCAGGGAGCCGCGTGTGGTCAAGCAACAGTTGTTTCTCCACCCTGCCGGGCGTTACTTGTTGCCACACTTAAATCCGGATAGACGGCAATACAAACATAATCGTTTCGTCTTTGGCCGGTGGCCGATGACAGTTGGCCAGTGGCCGGAGACCATCAACAAACAAACTGACTGAAGCCCGGGGCGGTGTCCTGTGGTAGTGGTCGGCCGTTGTGATCTTGCGCTTCTCATATGAAACCCCACACACAGCAAACGCATACTTTTTTGGGGGCGGGGTGGAAGGTGAGCAAGGAGGCAAGACGCCAATAGAAGACTCGTGATAGCGCACATCACCTGGCCAAGACAAAAGGCAAACGCACACTGCCACATGAAGCACCTTCCTATACTTAAGAGCAAGAGGAGAGGAACTCACTTGCAAACGGAAAAACACCCACATATAGAAAACAATGCTACGAATTAGGTGCCCAGTGAGCGCAGACCTCGCCAGTGGCTGTAAGTTGGTGCCTGTGGCTGAACCCATAACCCCGGTTAGGAGTTGTTTTGCAGACACGGCCCCGGTGAATACACCAGCTCTCGTGCCCTCTGCATTCATCAAGAATGTGCTCAAGTCTAAGTTGAGGCACGTGGCCAGGATCCCTGTTGCCAGTGGCAGTGACCAGTTATGTTTGGCAGGGAGCCGCGTGTGGTCAAGCAACAGTTGTTTCTCCACCCTGCCGGGCGTTACTTGTTGCCACACTTAAATCCGGATAGACGGCAATACAAACATAATCGTTTCGTCTTTGGCCGGTGGCCGATGACAGTTGGCCAGTGGCCGGAGACCATCAACAAACAAACTGACTGAAGCCCGGGGCGGTGTCCTGTGGTAGTGGTCGGCCGTTGTGATCTTGCGCTTCTCATATGAAACCCCACACACAGCAAACGCATACTTTTTTGGGGGCGGGGTGGAAGGTGAGCAAGGAGGCAAGACGCCAATAGAAGACTCGTGATAGCGCACATCACCTGGCCAAGACAAAAAGCAAACGCACACTGCCACATGAAGCACCTTCCTATACTTAAGAGCAAGAGGAGAGGAACTCACTTGCAAACGGAAAAACACCCACATATAGAAAACAATGCTACGAATTAGGTGCCCAGTGAGCGCAGACCTCGCCAGTGGCTGTAAGTTGGTGCCTGTGGCTGAACCCATAACCCCGGTTAGGAGTTGTTTTGCAGACACGGCCCCGGTGAATACACCAGCTCTCGTGCCCTCTGCATTCATCAAGAATGTGCTCAAGTCTAAGTTGAGGCACGTGGCCAGGATCCCTGTTGCCAGTGGCAGTGACCAGTTATGTTTGGCAGGGAGCCGCGTGTGGTCAAGCAACAGTTGTTTCTCCACCCTGCCGGGCGTTACTTGTTGCCACACTTAAATCCGGATAGACGGCAATACAAACATAATCGTTTCGTCTTTGGCCGGTGGCCGATGACAGTTGGCCAGTGGCCGGAGACCATCAACAAACAAACTGACTGAAGCCCGGGGCGGTGTCCTGTGGTAGTGGTCGGCCGTTGTGATCTTGCGCTTCTCATATGAAACCCCACACACAGCAAACGCATACTTTTTTGGGGGCGGGGTGGAAGGTGAGCAAGGAGGCAAGACGCCAATAGAAGACTCGTGATAGCGCACATCACCTGGCCAAGACAAAAAGCAAACGCACACTGCCACATGAAGCACCTTCCTATACTTAAGAGCAAGAGGAGAGGAACTCACTTGCAAACGGAAAAACACCCACATATAGAAAACAATGCTACGAATTAGGTGCCCAGTGAGCGCAGACCTCGCCAGTGGCTGTAAGTTGGTGCCTGTGGCTGAACCCATAACCCCGGTTAGGAGTCACAAGCTGTGATCGCCATGATTTTCGCAGGCTTCAAATGCCCCTTCAGACCCAAAACCTCAGCCCTAAATCCTGAAAGCCTCAAGGCATACCAAAGCGAAACCTGCCACAAAAGCCGACCAACGGCAGATGGCGGGGAATAACCTGGACCTCACGTGGCGTTGTACCTCCGTGCACGGGTCTTTCGGGGGGCCCTGAGGGGTTGAGAGCTTGGTGGTCCCCAAACCCTCAACCCAAACCCTAAACCTTGAATCCATCTGAATTCTGGATTCTGAAAAACCCTAACCTAACCCTACACCCTGAACACTAAACCCTGGACATTTGGGGTTTAGGGTTTAGGGTTTAGGGTATTAGGGTTTAGGGTTTAGGGTTAGGGTTTAGGGGGTCCCTGATTGGGGTCCCTTCTTATAGTGGGGTCTATTTCGGGGTCCCTTTTTGAAAAAACCTCCATTTGGGGTTGAGCGTGTCGAAGGGTTTGGGTTTGGTGTGCACTAAGGATTTAGGGTGTCAACGCGTGGCGACCAAGAGCCCGATTTCAAGTCCCGCCAGCTTCTTCGTGTAAACGCTAAACCCCAAACTCTAAACCCTAAACCCAGAACCAGAAACCTCAAGATGTGGAGCGTTCTTTAGCCATGGTACAAAGGTGCTGGAACTTGAAACCTCCCAAAGCCCCTAAAGTCTCGGGTCTAGGGATTAGGGTTTAAGCCCAGTTAAAGCCCTCATACACCTACCGCCTCACTGACCAAAGCTCGCCCGATCTGCCCTATTCCCCAGACCCAGCCCTAAGGCCCCCCCCCCCAACTAACAAAGCCCACTGGCCACACCAGAGAAGTCGATGCT